AATAATTCTTAAATAAGAAAATACTTTACTCATACAACTTAAAAAAATCAATGATGTGTTTTCATATTCGGAAATAATTGTAGAATACACTTGGTGTCTAGATCGGCTATTTGTTCCCGAATAGCACCGGCTCTAGTAGAAATTTCTCGATTTCGAAATGTATCGAAGCCTTGGGTAGTAAAAAAAGCGGAACAGTGCTCAAAAAAATGGTCTCTATCATACTAGACAATCATTCGCGAATTGATCACATATTCGATTTCTAAACTTGTTCTTAATGTAATCCAAAGTTGAAAAGACTCTTTCAACACTTGTCGTACAATCATAAAATAAATACAAATTAAGGGTAGCTTGAAATTTATTTAATTGTTAAGTTTTGAAAATAATTAGAAATAGGGAAGGACATTTTACTATTACACAGTGTTTAAATCGAACAACATATGGGTTGTAGCCTAGTGGAAATTATGTTTATTAATAATAATAGTGTCCTATGTTTGAATTACCCAAACTATCACTTATATTCTCATACGCAAACTAAAAGATAAGAGTAGGATAATCATTTTTTTCAAATTTTAAGGGTGTCCACGATTATCAATAATAATTTTTTTGTCCATTCGTAAATTTCCACCGGGGGTTGTATAATCGTTTTCCCAAAATTTAGGGGTGTCCGGGGACACCCCTAAACACACGTGGGTCCGCCACTGTTCCTAGTGATAACGGAAAATAATCGTTGGTCATGGTTATACCTTAGGTCATGTTCAGGGCAGAGTCAGGATTTGACATTCGGAGGGCCAGAGTTATCTAAAATATATTATGAAAATATAAAAAAATGCTAAAACAATAAGGCAAAAGGCATTGAAAAAGTGTTTTCACCTACCAAATATTACATGTCTTGTAATAAAAAAAAAATATTACATGTCTCAATATTCCTCACCAATCAAACCCGAAACTTGAAACTCAAGACAACAACTCAAAATTTGCAACAACAAGCAGCTAGATTTTGGACTGTATCCGACCCACCAATTGTGTAGCCAAACCATTTCCAATCACACTCATCCAATGTTTTCTCGAAATATAATTGACCGCCATACTCAAAATTAGATTATCAACATGCAAAGAGTCCTAAAACACCTTGCCATAACAAAGAGAGTTTTAATCCACAAATAATGCTCTCCATTCTCAAATCTATAAGGACGCATACAGTACACACCATCAAAGGGTCATATCTGATAATACTCATCGAGTGGGTTCAAATTGGCATCGTAGCTCGCCTACAACTACACTCCCAAACTAAGGCCAAGTATAACCAAAGAAATGGTGAAGTCTAGCGGAAGTAAATTTCATTTATCAACCTAGGGCGTCAAGTCTACCCTTACCCCCATGAGCCATTCATTCTGAAGCTAACCAGTTGTAGAGTGTTTAACTAAATCTAATAAAACACAAAACAAAGTTAACTTGATTCATATTCAAAATGAGAAGGTCACTCGGATATGATTCTCCTTAGTTCGTCCTTAGGTCGATATTGATTACTGCCCTAGATTGTTTGACTCGATACTTTTACTGCGCAGAGTCCTTAGATAGTTTGGAACCCATATTCACACAAACTAAACCCACTTAGATAAGCTACCCGGAGGCATAGTTTACACAACTGGTATAGAACACCAAAGACAAAAAAATATATATATATAAAATCCCGCTATTGAAAAATCGAGAGCAAATCAAGACGACACGCGAGTTTTACGTGGTATCCTTGATCGTTTGTTTGATCAAGACTAATCCACGGGAGAGGACGGCCTCTCCACCATTAATATTATTGAGATCTCAATTCGTTACAATGGCCGTGAGGCCTACTGGTTCCTTATATAACCTAGGTAACTTCTTCTCAATTAGGTTTACACATGGAACCGGTTTCCTTATCAAGCTGGGACAAGTACTACTTGTTATACAAGTATCACCAACTACACGAATGGAAGACTTGGGTTGTACTGCCATAGACGAAGTGGGCTCCCCAGTGGTGGGCTCGATATCTCGATCCAATACGCCCCCGCAAGCTGAACGGTGGAGATCACGAACGTTGAGCTTGGAGAGCAAGAAAAGAAATTGGTCCGCTCCTAAACCCTTGGTGAAGAGATCCGCAACCTGCATATGAGAACTGATCTTGAGCGGCAAAATATCACCTGAAACAAAACGTTCTCTAACAAAGTAACAATCCATTTCCACATGCTATGTTCTCTCATGGAAAACAGGATTAGCAGTAATGTGGAGAGTTGCCTGATTATCCCAGTACAAGGGAGTAGGACTAGACTGTGGTACCCCCAACTCAAGAAGCAACCATCGGAGCCAAACTAGCTCACTGACCGTGCTAGCCATGGCACGATATTCGGCCTCTGCAGACGACTGGGCAACAACCTTCTGCTGTTTAGTACGCCAAGAGATCGGTGCAAAGCCTAAGAAAATGCAGAAATCACTGGTAAAACGACGAGTGGACTAACAACCACCCCAATCTGCGTCACAATGAGCGACTAGCTCCAGAGAATTGTCAGTGGGAAAATACAGACCTTGACCAGGGGAAGTTTTCAAGTAACGTAATATCCTAATCGCAGCATCCATGTGTGCTTGAGTAGGCGCATGGACAAAACGATTCAAAATGTTCACACTGTAAGTAATATCTGGTCTTGAAACTGTAAGATAGAGTAAGCGACCAACCAACCTCCGATATGACGAGCCATCTGCAAGAGGAGAGGACGAGTCAGGCTTCGTCAACTGATGGTTTTGCTCCACTGGGAAGGCGATGGGACGTGCGCCAAGGACTCCCGCCTCGGCTAAGATGTCTAGTACGTACTTGCGCTGATTAATGACAATACCTCGTGGGGAACGAGCAACTTCCAAACCCAGGAAGTAACGCAGAACACCCAGATCCTTGATACTAAACTTGTGATCAAGGAACCGCTTGACATGAGTAATAAAATCCAGATTATTTCCTGCCAAAATCACATCATCAACATAGATCAAAGCCACGACAAACACGTCTGCTTTCTTGTAAACGAAAAGTGAATGGTCTGCAGGGGATGCACGAAAGCCAAGGTCACCCAGCGAAGTGGTGAACTTTTGATACCAGTTGCGTGATGCTTGACGCAGGCCATAGATAGACTTATGGAGACGACATACACGGGTATCACCCTCAACACCGAATCCTGCAGGAACCTTCATATAAACCTCTTCAGAAAGGTCTCCGTGCAGAAATGCGTTATTAACATCCAGTTGGTGGATATGCCATCCACGACTAACAGCAACTGCAAGGAGACATCGAACTCTGAAAAGTTTGGCAACAGGCGCAAACGTGTCATGAAAGTCCACCCCTTCAATCTGCGTATAGCCTTCAGCTACGAGTCTTGCTTTATACCGTTCGACTGACCCATCCGGACGATATTTAACTTTGAAGACCCATTTACAATCTATACAACGCTTACCTGAAGGAAGATGCATGAGACTCCACGTCCCATTGGCTACCAATGCCTCGATCTCTTTCCTCATTGCTTCCCTCCAACATTCATGTCGAACTGCCTCTCGAAAAGACTTTGGTTCTAGTATTTTGTCAACGGCTCCCAAATAAGCACGATACTCAGAACTCATGCGAGCATACGATACATGATGGGAGAGAGGATAACGGACGTGTGAAGCAGCATGTAAATCTGTTTCATACACGTCAACAAGGTGCCTGTGGGGACGACGCTCTCGGTCATCACGACGAAGAGCTACTGGAGGAGAGGCTGTCGTCACATGATCATTCCCTTGACCTTGATCATGTTTGATCGAGACTAATCCACGGGAGAGGACGGCCTCTCCACCATTAATATTATTGAGATCTCAATTCGTTACAATGGCCGTGAGGCCTACTGTTTCCTTATATAACCTAGGTAACTTCTTCTCAATTAGGTTTACACATGGAACCGGTTTCCTTATCAAGCTGGGACAAGTACTACTTGTTATACAAGTATCACCAACTACACGAATGGAAGACTTGGGCTGTTCTGCCATAGACGAAGTGGGCTCCCCAGTGGTGGGCTCGATATCTCGATCCAATAGCTATTGAGATGACACTCAATACAACTCTTTGAATCGACTTACTTTCGTGTTATTGATTCATAACGTTCATCGAAGATGCTCTATTGTCCTAATAAGATATTCTCTTTCATAAGACCATTAAGGATTTGCAGTTCACTCTTTATTGTTTGCCAAGGATTTATAGTTTAATAAATAGTTATAACAATGTTATCATAATGGGTTGTTTATGAGTATTTTGTGTTGGCCCGTTTTATGTTGCTAAAAACTATATTAAGGTGTATGCATTCTTATTGATATATTTTGCACTTGCATCACCCTGGCCGTACGATTCCTCGGGTGAAAACATATTTTGGTTGCTATTTCATGTGCTTTCTTTGTGTTTCTCGATTTGAAAATAGTGATTTATCCCGACCATATACGATTCATATTTGTGGAAATCCATCCATAGTTTATTAAAAAATATGTCCTCACCCCTATTGCATATATTTTTATAGTCATGTTTCTCAATTCAATAACGGATCCCGACACAATCATGTTTGCTCCTTTTTCATTTCAGATGCACTTCTTGATTTGAGAACCAAGAGATGCATTTGAGGTTTACTTCTTGAAGGAAATAAAGGGATTACGGTTGAGGGTTTGGTACCTGATTGAATTAAATTCGTCCATGAAAAGTTTCCGGCGCATACTAACCATCAGTTGTGGAGAGCTCGGAACGAACGATTGAGGCCGCGAGAGCGTGAAGGATAAGCAGCAAACCCTAGTTTATATATAGGAAGAGATCGAGGATTGGGATCTTTATGGCTTGGGCTGGTGAAAAATCACAATCCATCTCATCCCTCTTTCTTTTCTACTGTGCTTATTAACTAATTAATGAGGTGTAAATTACGTATTAGATAGATTAACTTCACAGTCAGCAACTATATTAAATTATTAATCATGTGGCCTCTTCTACGAGCAATGAGGAGTCGAAACATATTAGAGCTCGACTATTACGGATATTATATGGGTTTAGGAGATAGATTATACAATGGTTGCTAGCCTTTCAAACAGGTCTAGAAACTTACTCCGATGGTAATGTCAAAACTTTTGGCTTCTGCGTTGCCAAATGCTGCAGATAATGGCCAACTTAATCTTCCCAAGCCAGTCGTGTGTACACAAAATGCAACCGCCGTATAGCGGGTTCTCTCGAAAACTTTTCTCTAACTGACATAATAAACAACGGAAAAAAATTGCAGCGAACAGATGAACTGACACTGCTCTACGAAGAAGAGATCGCTTCGCTTAGGTGTCATTCAACGTGAAACCTAGGCCTGCATAAACAGCACATATATGACGCTGCTGATATGACTTTATCAAAGGCGTTAGGGCGCCTTATATCAAATCATCCATGCCCTCGCTGTCTTCACTTTCAATCAGGCCATCAAAGGGTTCGTTTTGCTCGCTGTCTTCATCGTCCGTCTCCATCGCATCATCTTCTTCTTCATCTTCATCACTTTCGTCGTTATCCTCGTAAATTATCGGAACTACTGGTTCGTCTTCCTCAAGGCCATCATCGACAATCTAATCGTACAGAAGACATATAGCAAAGATGTTACATCATTTCAATATAGGCAAGATTGACAAAGTGGTAATGCCTTAATTAAAAATTTACAAATGTTTTAATACACACAAAAGAAAGAAGCATACCCCTGCATATAATGAGTCTATGTGACTTGACAACTGAAGAGCCGACTGGAAGGTTGACACTCTTGAATCAATCACCTGTAGAAAACAAGACAACACAAGATTTTTCAGCACAAAGTTTGGATGAGGAAGCAACTAATACAAGACTAATACACAACTACAATCGAACCTGATTCAAAGAGTTGAGAGACCGAAAAGAAGACTCCTGAGACATTATTCCACTAGCATGCTGAAGAAGTAAGTTTCTCAACCACGGAAGAGCGCATGCCACAATTGCACCCCTACAATAAAGTGCGACAGAAAAGTTCAGTTATATATGTATCACAGGCTTTTCCCACTAAAAAAGGTTGTTCCTCTAGCCTTCCTATAAGAACTTACAATATCTGAATCACAAGTTTGCAAATAGCTCGCAACAAAATGTGCACGAAAAAGAAGAGGAGAAATGAAAAGGTTCCTGTGTGGATTGGTATGTATCAAGTAAACCGTTGGACTTCCAATTAACTAAGAATCGCTACAAAACCTTGCCTAGATGCTACATGATATTTAGAATCCCATAAGGTAAGTATGCCATTACCTGGCTTCGATTATAGTTACGAGAGAGTGCAACAGCTTGAGGACGTCCGCCATACTCAAAGTAGAGATTGACTTTGCAATGACCTACAAACATAGATTGTAATGATGATCAACCTGACAAATTCCTCTTAACAATGATTCCAAATACCATCACAGAAAGTAAAAATTTAAGAAGAGACAGACACATAAAAAAGCTGAGATCTTTTACATGGTCAGCCTTAGAAAACAGAATTTCTTATCAAATTCATCCTTGCAAGCAAAACGAACACTTAGCGCACGACAAAAAGGAAGACAAAACACAGACCTTCTCATCTTGGGTATATAAGCAATCTAGGAGAAGCGAGCGGTCATCAGCATGAAGCGCTTGCTTAAGCAGAATGTTGACTGAATCAGCACTTGGAGGTTTTTCGCCAGGTATCAATTCTTGGTCCTCCCCACTCTTGGTTGGACCCTCTTTTAACTCTAAACTCGCAAGTTTCTCACCCATCGTTGGCTCAAGTGAATCATCATCTTCAACCAGGACTCCATCCACAGCTTCATTATGATCTAGTTAAAAGATCCCCATTCAGTAAATGCCATACAAACATAACCAGAACACTAACATCCAAGTACGACGAGGAAAACATAAACCTACTTCAGTTTAAACTTCAAATCCTAGACAAATTCTAATCCTGTGCACGGGGATGGGCTACATGCATAGAGTACCACAGACAAATTATGCAGTAACAGTACGGAGTTTATCTAGTCCGAAATAGGGGCCGATAAGGTTCTACAAAAACAATGGCAAATCCAGAGTTCCGTCTACTTTCTCACACAGCAAAAGGAATAACAAAATATGAAGCAGGAATCACCTGAAGTCGTGTGATCATCCAAATGGGACGCTGTTCGTTTCTTCTTCGATTTCTTTTTCTCGACTGATACAGCTGCAAATGCTTCCGAGCCCATATGAAATATTTATGAGAATCCGAAGCTGTGAGCAAAGTGGTAGCTGAACCAGTGAAACTTCGCTTCTCTCTAGCTCCTCTTTGTTTCGCCTCTGCTAGCCACGGCCAGAGATGGAACGGCGCGGAAGGGTAATCGGCGGCGATGGAGGATTCAGAAACCAGAGATGGAGAGAGAGTTGGGTTCGTCTGCGCCGCTCAAAAAGGCTCCTGCTTCCCGGACTGTTGATATGAAACAAACCCTAAAAGTGGGCCGTAGCCCAGACCGTTAATTAGATTTAGACCAGATCCATAGCTACCAAAAAAAAAACCAGCAGTGGGTTTTCAGTTTTTTATTTTATTTTTTTATCATAGTACGAGAAAATACTAGACAATATGTTTAGAGATCGGATAAGGTGCTAATACTTTAACACTATGTTTGTTTAGAGGTGCTGTTGGAAATGTATATGAATAGCTTTGAAAGCTAGGGCTGGTTATTTGGAACGGGACCGGATGAAAAACCGGAAACCGGACCGTATAACCCGGACCGGGACCGGATAGTAAACAATCCAATCCAATCTTTGGGCTTAGATTTGAGGTAAAAAACCGGATAAAGACCGGATAAAATAGCTCAACACCCAAAACTTAAGGGTAATTTGCATAAACGGTCACAAACCTTTGCACTTAGTGCAAAACTTAACCAACTCCTCACCCTTTTAGGCCTTAGGCCACTCAAATTCCCACAATCTCAATATAAAATCAAGACCGAATTGGGACCGGACCGGGTCAAGACCGGACCGGATCAAGACCGGACTGTATCCAATCCAATCTTCGGTCCTTATATTTTCAAAAAAACCGGACTGGACCGGATCAATTTGGGCCAATTTAACCGGACCGGACCGTATAGCCACCCCTATTGAAAGCTATAGAGTCTCAAGTGGAAAAAACCAATGCAGTCAAAGCGCGATTCTACCTAGAAGCGGTTGGGTTACCTACAAGCGTAAAATCGTAAGTTTTTAAGTTTTAAAACGTAGATTTTGACTACATTTATTAGAGAAAATCACGATTCTACGTAGAAGCGTTGTGGTGACCCAAAAAGGTAAAAGTATAAGCTTTTAAGTTTTAAACCGCGATTTTGACTGCATTGGAAAAAACTACCACATTGGTAGTTTTTACTTGGTGAAATGTGTATAAAGATAGGAGCCTCTCTCCTAAGGGCATGCCCCTTGGGGTGACCCACTTTTGTGGGAGAGGGAGGACCTAACGAACCACCACGCGCGCGCCGTCCGTCCGATCGGTTGGTTGGTTGGTTCACTTGAGACCCGAACGAAATTAATTATCTAATAATTAATTATTAATCGGTTATTCTGAGGATAATCGATTAAAAAGGAATATTTGAAGGATAATCCCGCAGAATTTATCTTCACCGACAATTTTAATTAAGGAAGTAATTATCTTCCTTAATTAATCCGACTTATTCCCCCAAGCAAGAGGGTATTCTCCTAGGGGTTCGGCTCCTATAAATAGCCGCCTCCCCAGCCCCTCTAAACACATCACAATGAGCATAAACACAATAGAGAGTGTGTTCAGAGAGCTCCGGTTGATAGTCTGTCGTGCGCATCGAGGGCAGTGCCGCGAACGTCTTAAAGAGAGCGACCTAGTCCGCGACTCAGCTCCAGATTCGGTAACCTCGTTCTTGTTGTTGTTCCGTTCCTAACAGGTGCAAATAAAGAGAGCAAATTTGCACTAAAGGGAGCAAATTTGGAGTGCAAATGCATTGAGCAATAGTAGTGACAGGGGGTGCAATTGAGGGTAAAATGATTATTCTACTCTACCCCAATTTGGGGTGCAAAAGGGAGAGAGAAAGAGAGGGAGAAAGGGTGAGAGATTATTAATGTGAAATTTATGTTGGTTTATGTATTGGTATTATATTTAATGATTATTTTATGAATAAAAATATACTAATTAATAGGTTGATTATATTAAAATAATTATATAATAATTATTATCAATTTTTTATCGTTATAGTTATTATTAATGTAGACATTGCTCGGGGTTCACCGCTTGACTCTAGCGTGGAAGTTTGTCAAGGTTCGTGTAGTGAAATCGAGATACCTTGATTGACTCGGATTTTGCGATGAAATTAGAGAGAAGAAGTATTTTTGAAAATGTAGAAATGAGCACAAGAACCTGATAGGATGACCAGTTATGGCTAAACCCTATTTGATATATCGATTTCACACTGGTTTAACCACTACGTCGACAAATCAACAAGTGAGTGGAACACATAGGCTAGTGATATGATCCTATTTAGCCTCTTGTTCAAGCTCGAATTGATTGTTAAAGGATCCATGAACGTTGGAAGGAAGAAAGGTCGAATTTGGCTAAGTTTTCGAACTATATCATGGTGCTTACTTTACAGGTTCGTATCTTACGTTTTGATCGATGGAAATGCACGTGAAAAGATGGGAAAGTGAAGGTCGGGTGTTTATTTACAATGTTGAATGGCTGGATGCACGAGCAAGGGTCCATAGGTGCTTGATCAAGAAGCCTCAAAGTTGCTATGATGAGCTGGAAACTGTCTGTTTTTTATTTATTTTTTTTGCCAAGTCTGGAAGCGGGTTGAACTGTCATCTTGGGACGCTTATTCAATGCAATTGGAGGATCGTCGATGGGCAAGAAGAGTTGGAAATTGAACTGCAAGAACAGGAGAACAAACGAATGAAGGTCGTTTAGGTCGAACCTCCCTGGAAGACCACGATCAAGAGCTCCAAAGTGGCTATGGAGGGTGATACCATTGCTTGCGCAGGAAGGCAGCAGCTTGGGAGAGAAGTAATTGAAGTTTGTTACCTTTTTTAGTTGGGATTTTGTTTCCTTGTTGAGTTAGAGTTAGAAATTGATTTCCTTGTTTGTTTAGAGTTAGAATTAGATTGTTAATGGTCTATTTAAAGGCTTGGAAGCCTCGTGTAAAAGGTAGAGAAGATTGAATGAGAAGTCATGCCTTTGTCACCCCAATTCTTGTGTGTTGGTCGAGTTCCAGCAACAAGCTTGCTTCGTATCGATTGAAACAGCATCAATCGTGGCCGAGCTTCACCTCAAACCAATCGAGCTTTCTTCCACGTGAAAGATTGCACCATTGGGTCCGTTTTTCGTTTTAAGTTTGTTCAATTTCAATCCTTGCTTCGAGGGAGGGAAAGTTGAGTTGTGAGCTTTGATCTCAAACAAGCACAATTGTGCTCGTATTAGCTAGCTATATATCTTGCCCACTTGTTGAATTTCGAGCCTACCCATTATCCTCGAGGTTGCTCGACCAATCATGATTTTGATGAGCTTAACCGTATTATTTATAATTTCTATAATTCATTACTATTTGAGCATTAGTAGCTTAATAATTATTTTATTAAATTATATTTATTAGTAGTTATGATTTTATATAAATTTTTCATTTTATTATTTAATATATTATTTTGATAAATTTTAATATTTTTTATAATATTTTATAAAATTTAAAAATGTTTTATAATAATATAATTTACTTAATTTTGCTCTATTTTCACCCCTACTTTTTCATTCCAAACAACAATTTCTTCTTCATTTACACCCACTTCAATTGACACCCGCCAACAATTTGCACCTCAACTCGCACCCACTCAGATTTGCACTCCTTTCATTGCTAAACATAGTGTAAGGGGTCGTTTGGAGGTTGAGATTTGAAGTGAGGTATTTAGCAAATACATGTAATGATAAGATTAAGTCGTTTTTTTTGTTCACTTTGAGTTGGAATGCATGCATTACCTTTTTGTTGGACCCACCTACAATCACTCAAAATGAATGATTATAAATCTCTACTAAAAGGTGAGATTGTTAATGAGGGATTGTCTACCCTACTTTTTGTTTTATCATTGCTCTTCCAAAGAAAGTATTTTCCTAATACATGCATTGAATCAATACATCAAATGATAATACACTAATTGACCTAATACATCAATTTGAAGAATCACAATTTCCAAACCACCCTAAATATTAGCATCATACTAACATAAATAACTAAGAGTATTTTTGTAACTGATGACAACACTTACCGTCTCCTTTCCTCTTCTTCCTTCCTTTTTCGTGTCCAACTCTTTGTGTCTCTTCTCTTCTCTTAGAATTTTCCTTTAGCTTCCTCGTTGCGACTCTGTAATTTCCATCGTTGACATAACCCAGGTTAAGTTCATGGATTTCTCCGTTGGGCACATCCCCACGCCCATTTACCAATACCATCCTACATTATTATAACCAACGGTTGTTTTTTAATTTCTTGATTCGTTCCCATATCTGTACTGTAAAAACATTTGGGCTTGCTTCTCTCTCCGAACTTTCTGTTCTCCATATTCAGTCCCCAAGTTTAGTAAGTAGTAACTGACTGTTAGTCTCCATTAACTTTTATTAAAGTGGCAGTCAATTTTGATAGTTGACCGTTAAATAAATGATGTGTTAATTAAAAATTGAAAAATAAAATTTAATCTATTAACAATTTCCACTTCACTAAAACAACTAGCGTGGCCCTGGCCATTTGGCCGGAGGAAGGTGAGGTATGAAATTTGATAATGTAATAAGGTGTATAGCTTATTGTTGTATTTTTTGTGGGAAACACGTGATAAAAATAGTGAATTTTAGTAGGAAAGAGACATGAATGATGTAACGAATCAAAAATCAGCCTTATGACCCAAAATCAAGTATCTGTTACCTTGTGAAACAATATTGTATATCCCGCCGGTTTTCGGGAAATGAGCATCTCACAATCGTTGCTAGCTTTTACTCGGCCCGTTGGCCGATTAATTTGCTTTATAAAACTTTCATCTTGTCATCATTGTGCTTTCTGGTTTTTTGCCAAGCCATGATAAAATCTAAAGAAATCAAGAATGAACAACACGATTTGGGATAGGAACCACCGTTCCTGTATCCCTAGAAAATGGTGGTAAACACGGACTCACCTGCCAAACTGGTTTGGATTGAGATTTTTATCGGGTATCAGGGAACCATGTGATTATAAATTAGACTTGATCAAAACGAGACAAAACTTGAAATTCATCCTGATTGACCGACCCATGCCAAACGCTAATTATTATTTACTTTTAAATTTTCTATTTGAAAATAAAAAGTAATGAAAGAAAAGAGATGACTGCAATTCGTCATTTGCACATCACTGATTCGGGAATAAAACTATAGAATTTCGAAAGGAAACTGAAAATGTTTAGGATCGTTTTAATGTTAAAAATAACCAAATAGATC